GGGGGGTTCCCATTTATTCTTCGGGTTCAGCTTGGGGATAGGAGCAAACATGTTGTCGTAGAGTGGTCCCTGCTGGGTGAGTCGGCGGGCAGGTGTTCCTATATTTTGTTCGTTGACAGGGTAGTTGGTCCAATCCTGGGTGGGTATACGTGGGAGGTCCAAGGCATCTTGAAAGACTGGGACATCGTGCGGTGTCCTGATGGTTGCCTCCATGGTGCCTCTACTTGCCGTGAGGGCAAAGGGGATCTGTAGCAGATTTGTAGGTCTTGTAGGGCCATGGTAAGTGGCCATAGAGCCCTTCGTGTTTGCAGAGTGAGGTGAGATAGGCCATTATAGAGTTCCACTACTTACCCTTCGAATCTCCAGGTCCTGTCTGTTTGGGCTTTTTCTGCATAATTTCTTCCTTGAGCAGGAAGTCCTGTAAACAGCAAATTAGATCTCTGGGTGGTGTGCCCGGGGGTGGTTTTGGTGTTAGGGCCCTGTGGGCTCTTTCCATGTGGATGCAGGCCTCCCGGGGTCTTCCCAGTATTTCGTTAAATAAAGGTATCAGGAAAGCCCTAGCATCTTCTTGGTTATATTAGAGATTTTATCTCCTCTTTCCCATTATTTCACTTACTGTGGGAATTATTTTTATGATATATTTTATATTTTTGTGGTATTTCAAAAGAAATATTTAATAATTTTATATCCATCCATTAACAGCATATGTTTCTAAAGACCTTGAATTGATATTTATTTATTCTGATATCAACAAATGTATATGGTATCTATATATATTGTTATTTATACACATCATTCCCTTTTATTTTTCCCCCAGTTGGAAATTAATCTTGGACATTTAGAGAATATATAGGATTCATTATGCACAGAGTGAGACGTCTCAAAAGTGGAATGCAGAGATGTGTTCCAAGACGAAACTGAAATACAGGTAATGGACGTGGAAATTCATTCCACTGAGGACGCAGTGCATTCCAACATCAACACAACGTAAAGAGTTGACGTCATCACAAGGAGATGGAAGTCGTCAGAAGCCGGATGAATACAATCAAGGGTACATATAAAAACCAGGGAACATAGAAGATTAAACACATAACTGAGGAAGCCTCAGAAAGAGGCAAAACACGTATTGCACAAATTAATTGTAAGGACTTTCAACATAATTTTGTTTCATTGTTTTCTCTGTTATTATTTTTTGTAAAAATAAAGTAATACTTTGACCATACCTGACATCCAGTGAATTCACAAGGGGAGGCAAAGGAACGATCACCAGCATACAGAGAAGGGGATGGGATCCCTGTAAATATCCCAGAACGCCGAAACTAACTGGCTCTTTACTTGTGAGTACATTGACCAGAAATTCATCCATTGTTATAAACAAAACTTACAGTGTTGCACTGGGATATGGTTACTTTTG